TAGGGCTTCAATACAAAAATTTTAAAAAGTTTATTTTGTCCTCACCCAAGGACATTTTTTTTTTGGTATTTATCTTCAGATAGAGCAAAAGGGAGAGAGGGAGGAAGAGAGAGAGAGAAGCATTGACGTGAGAAAGACACATCGACTGGCTGGGGGCCGGGATAAGCTGCAACCGAGGTATGTGCCCTTAGCGGGAACCGAACCTGGGACCCTCCGGTCTGCGGGCTGATGCTCTAACCGCTGAGCCAAACCGACCAGGGCCAATACGTAAATTTTTGAGTAGCACAATTCAGTTCCTAACATGGCCCTTGGCTCATTCAGTGTGTTGTCAAAGGAAGACAACCCACAGGAACAGGCCAGGCCAGAACAGTCCCTGCTCTCTGAGTAGACGAGTAGAGAGCAGGGAAGTCAACACGATGCCGTTTCTTGCTCACATTTTTACCCACTCAGTTGGGTACAGGCTGGAGCCCGGACAAGTCGCATGCCAGCTGCTGGGTACCTCCCTTGCCCTCCAGGGCCATCCATACTTTATTGCTTTCTGAGCCTCAGCTATTGACAGGTGGCTTTCTCTTTATTAAAATTAACATTTTTCCTGGATATTATCTCCAGCTTCCAACTTTTAATCTACAGCTTTATTTTGTGCCCTTCTCTCTGTCAACTTAGGTTATGTGCAGGCCAACTTAGTTTATTTGTACTCACAGGTCTCAAACGTTGCAATTTTTATGTGATAATGCATGTTCTTAAATACTATTTTTAAAGTAGTTTTAAACTGGAAATTTAGCCATTTTAAGTATATGGATAGTAAAGGGAAGGTCTAATAAGTTAGGGATTGCCCTCAAATGCTCTTCTCTTTACCGGCCTTGTCCTCTGTTCTTCCTGCCACGTGAGCAGCAGGTTCATCGTTCTGCTGCCTGTCAAAAGGAGGAGGATTCAGTTTCATACATAGTTCAGGGTAGGGTAGCAGTTTGTTTATTTATTTATGTATGGATGACTCACTGTGGAGTGCTCTGTAGAAGCAGTACTTGTTAGTGGAATGTTCATAGGTGTCTAATCTGATTAGTCTGGGTTTGAATATTGGCTCTGAGAATTTGAAAAATTCAGTCACACAGCTTCTGAATGGTGGGGTTTGGGGGTCACACTGGCTGCATCCCAGGTACATCCCAACCTCACAGACCCTGAGTGTCAGAGTCCAGGATTACACTAAGATGTGCCTGGGTGACCCCCAACCTCACAGACCCTGAGTGTCAGAGTCTGGGATTACACTAAGATGTGCCCGGGTGACCCCCAACCTCATAGACCCTGAGTGGCAGAGTCTGGGATTGCACTAAAATGTGCCCAGTGAATTCCAAGGCAGAACTTGCAGTCACTGAGGGTTTCCCAGCGCTTAGAAAGAGGCTTCTGTTTGCCTTTAAAATGGAAACTCTGATGTTTTCATCAATAATATTAACGCATAATTTCAAGGGTGGCCAGTTTGAAGTATGGTCAGTTCCATCTGGGAAATGTAGCCTTTACTCTGGCTAGCCTTGGGCCAACCTGACATTAGGAGGATTCTGTTAGTGTTGTGAACGGGGAGAACAGATATTGGAGACTTACCATATTTGTTATAATGGCTGTGAAATTTCCTTGAAGGAAAAGGGTATTCCCCAGTGTCAATCATCCTGAGAAAACCTGATGGGAGTTCTATGACAGGAAATGAGGTTTCAAAAAAGGCCTTAAACTTCGGTGAGAGAGGCAGGTACTTTCTCTTCTTTCTGTGGGTAGACGATGAAGAAAGCATTCCAAGTGTGGAAAGGTAGGCTGGACTTTCAAGAGTTTGGCAAATAGTTGCCTTGGCCAGGTGGCTCAGTCGCTTGGAGCATCGTCCCATACACCAAAAGTTTGCAGGTTCAGTTCCTGGTCAGGGCGCATACCTGAGTTGAGGGTTTGATCCCCAGTTGGGGTGCATATGGGAGGCAACTGATCGTTGTTTCTCACATCATGTTGCTCTTTCACGTCAATGTACCACATAAAAATTCCCCCGCTCTCTCCCCTCATTCTCTCTCTGTGAAATCAATAAAAACATATCCTCAGGTGAGGATTAAAAAAAAAAGAAGAAGGAATGTGGCTGGTGTGGCCCAGTGGATTGAGTGTCATCCCAAGGACTGAAAGGTTGCGGTTCAATTCCCAGTCAGGGCACATGTCCAGGTTTCGGGTTAGATCCCTGGTAGGGGTTGTGCAGGAGGCAGCTGATCAATGTATCTCTCTCACATTGATGTTTCTATCTTTCTCTCTAAAAAAGTCAATAAAAATGTATATTAAAAAAATAAAAAAGAGTGTGACAAATAGCTGTAGCAGGGAGGAAACCTAGTGCCCATAAGATATACTTGGGGTTCTTCAGGGGAACACATGTGTAGCTGGAGTTGAAGTTATTCTTTGTGTAGTAACATTTTTCTGTTGTACACAAAATTCCAGGGACATAATTTAAAAAGTTGCACTCCAGTGTCACTCTAGTTGCATTGTGGAAAATTTTTTGCCTTCCTTAAGGTGACACTGTACTAAACAACCAGTAGGTTAAGGAAAGGTGGTCTTTATTATTTTTTATTTTTTATTGAAAGGTGGTCTTTAAATTGACAGAGGTGATATGTAGCAGAGACTAATATGTTAAAAAAACAGAATAGGGGTCTGTGCCATTATAATTTGGGCAATAAAAGGAAGTGTGACCTGAGGTACAAGGAGGTGGATTCTGGGATATAATATGTTTACATTTCAATTTTTTTTTTTTAAATCCTCACTCGAGAATATTTTTCCATTTATCTTTAGATAGAGTAGGAGGGAGGGAGAGAGGGAGAGAGATACACATTGACTGGTTGTCTCCTGCATGACCCCAACCAGGGCCAGGGATGAACTACAACCAAGGTATGTGGCCTTGATTGGAATCGAACCCAAGGCTCTTTGGTTTGTGGGCAGATGCTCTAACCATTGAGCAAACTAACCAGGGCTACATTTCATTTTTTTTTGCATTTATCTTCAGATAGAGTGGGACGGAGAGAGAGAGAAACATCGATGTGAGAGAGACACATCGAGGGGTTGCCATCCACACGACCCCAGCTGGGGCCAGGGACAAACTGCAACGGAGGTACGTGCCCTTAGCGGGAACCGAACCAGGGATCCTCTGGTCTGTGGGCCGATGCTCTAACCGCTGAGCCAAACAGGCCAGGGCTACATTTCAGTTTAATAAATGAATAAATGGATGCTCATATATGAATAAAGGATATGTTCAAGGCCACATAGCTAAAAAGTGCCAGAACCAGAATGCTAGCCCAGGAGCATTAGACCTGAATTTCTACACTGCAGCCCTCAGAAATATGGCTGCCTCTCTAGATTAGCATCACCCCCTTTGCCTAACCATCCTGTAGCTGCTTGTACCTTCTGAACTCTCTAACCTGGTGCTGTCAAATATGGTAGCCACTAACCACATGGGACTACTGAACACTTGAAATGTGGCTAGTATGAATAGAAATGTGCTGCAATGAAAATAGACATATGAGATTTCAAAGTCTTAATGCAAAAAAATAAAAGAATGCAACAAATCTCAAATATTTTTTATATTTATTACCTGTGGAAATGATAATGTTTTGGATTTACTAAATTTAATAAAATGTATTATTAATATACATTCCACTTATGTCTTTTTATGTTTTAAAATGTGGCTACTAGAACATTCAAAATTGGTTTGCTGTCTGTGTTCTGTATCTGTTGGAAGCACCATTCCAATACACCTTCTCCCGCATCCTTCCCTCCTTCCTCCTTTTTTTTTTCCTTTATTGATTTTAGAGAGAGAGGGAGTGAGAGGGAGCAAGAGATAGAAACATCAATGAAAGAGAACATTGATTGGCTGCCTCCTGCATGCCCTCGACTGGGGATCAGGCCCACAATCTGGGCATGTGTCCTGGCTGGGAATTGAACCAGCGACTTCTTGGTGCATGGGTTGACGCTACACCACTGAACCACACCGATCCGACTCCTTCCTCCTTTCTTATTTTTATCTGAAATGGCTTTTTGAACTGGGTCATGGCCTTTAGTGGAGAATAGACTTGATCCCCCCACATTCTATTTTGTATATGGACCTTTGGCCCCCAAAATCTATTTAAAAAAAATCTCTTGATATTTTTTTTTTTTTTTTTTTTTTTAATCCTCACCCGAGGATATTTTTCCTTTTTTTTTTTTGTACGGATAGAGTGGGAGGAAGAGAGAGAGAGAGAAACATCGACGTGAAGGGACACATCGAGTGGCTGCCACCCGCACGACCAACCAGGGCCGGGGACAAACTGCAACCGAAGTACGTGCCCTTAGCGGAAACCGAACCCGGGTCTCTCCGGACCGCAGGCCGACGCTTTAACCGCTGAGCCAAACTGGCCAGGGCTCTCTTGATAGTTTCTTTCCCATTGCTCTGAGAAAAGAACATGGCATAAGAAACGTAGTCCTTGTTACAGAGACTTACTCTGGTCATCCATGGGCCAAATTCAATGCCATAGATACCACTCTGGTGTTTGCTTTCTCCTGGGCATGTAAATTAAAACTCCGCCCCTTTCCAGCTCTGTCTCTTCTGTGAGGCTCCTGTGAGAATGATGGGATTATGTAAATTGTAGGTACTTAAACAGTATCTATTGAGTGACTCATGACAGGAAATAGTTCTGTGTCTTATTTTTTTAGAATATGTCTTTATTGATTTTTTAGAGAGAGAGGAAAGGAGAGAGAGATAGAAACATTGATGTGAGAGAGAAACATCCGTTGGCTGCCTCCTGTACGCCCCTTACTGGGGATTGAGCCCGAAACCTGGGCACATGCCCTGACCGGGAATCGAACCAGGGTCTCTCAGTCCATGGGACGATGTTCAATCCACTGAGCCACAAATTCTGTGTCATATTTAATAAAGATAGAGAGGAACTTGGTGTTTTAAGGGAAAGATCCACATCTCTGCTCATCTGTTTTCTCCAGCTCAATTGTGGTGTTGGCAATATCTATGGTGGTGGTGATGGTTGGGGGGAGTCAGTGGTTGAACCTCTGCTTTTTTTGGTGTCACTCTTGGTAGAAGTAGCAGGGTATGTAATTTTTCCTGAGATCATGAGGTTGGTGGTGGCAGAGTTCACAGTGTTGGCATTTGAGATGATGATGGTGTCAATGTTGGCAAAAGGGCTTCTGATTTTGGGGGAGACAGATAAAATATTGTATTTTGTTTGTATCATAGCCCTAGAATTCTTGGTAGCATTTAGCCATTTTTGGATGTCCTCTTCAAATACGTGGGGCATTTCCTTTTGCAGGTAGTTCTTTAGCATTTGAACTATTTGGAGTCCAACACAACATTTTTTCTTCTTGCATTTCTGTACCTCTTTCTCATACACAGCACACTGGTTTCTGCATCTCCCAAAACTCATTAAGCATCTTGAGCCAAATAATTCTGCACAAAGAAAAGAGAAAACCACTGGGCTAAGGTTAATAACTAGATATACTCTTTTTTTTTTTTATGAATTTTTATTTTTTTGTTACAGATATTTTAACTTTTTACCCCATTGGCACCCCCCACCCCACCCCACCTCCGCCCCGTCCCCGGCTTAGTTGTCCATGTCCATTGGTCATGCATACATGCATATAAGTTCTGTGGTTTATCTCTTCCCCTCTTCTGAGGGATGTCAGTCTGTGCCCTACTTCCATGTGTCTGGGTCTACTGTATTCCTCAGACTGTTATGTTCATTATATTCCGTATATAAGACGACATGGAGGGACCTGGAAAGTATTATCCTAAGTGAAAGAAGCCAAGCAGAAAAAGACAAATAACTAGATATACTCTTAAAGCTCCTGGAGGGAGCGGAATAGAGTAAGAGGGAATTTTTAATGCTAAGTCTTCAGTACGGTGTTTAGGGATGTTGATAGAGGCCCCTGGAAGACCAAGAGAATCTCTGTACACCTATAAAATCTAAAATAAGTCTCTCTATTCTCCTCTCATTGAATTACTTAAAAAATCTAGGGCACACAGAGGAAAGAAGAAAAGGGAATCCAAATATCTGCTTCTGGATAGGATTTTCGACCTCCAACTTAGCATCTTAGACACTTGTAGGGAGGGCATCACTACTTCTCCCCATTATCCTAGGAAATACCAACAAGAGTAAAATCTGCCATAAAACTAATTCAAGACAGAATTTCAAAAGAGAGACATGAAAGCATGGGACAGACTGATGAATGTCAGCAAGAAGGGGCTGGGGAAGAGATTAACCAAAGAATTTATAGGCATATATGCATAACCTATGGACACAGGCAATAGTGCGGTGAAGGCCTGGGAGTGGTGGGAGTAGGGTGAAGGGGGTCAATGAGGGAAAAACGGGGGGACATCTGTAACACTTTCAACAATAAAGATAAATTAAACAAACATTGGGAGGAGGGCGTCAATGGGGTAAAAAAGGAGAAACATCTGTAACAAAAATAAAATTTAAATAAATAAATAAATCAATAAAACAAACAAAAACAAAAGAGAATCAATAGGACTTTCAGGAGTGCTGGCAGTGGTTTATGGCCTCACCCTTGCCCTGTGGTGACAACAGCTTGGCCTGTGGTTCCTGGGGCATGGTGTTCTACCATTTTCAGCCTCTCTGGACACTCTGTTCCTCAGAGGTATTACTCATTATCATAGCCTCATCTCTATCCGGATAAGCCCCACACTGTTATCTGTAGCTCTGAATTCCCTGCTCAGTTTAGTACCTCATCTTCATCTGTGCAATGATTTTTTCTATCGCAATGTCTCACCTTTTAATTTCGGAATCAAGAAAGTTTTTTCTCACTCATCTTAACAATTCAATTGACAATGTTCACACACATTGCAATGTTGCTTCTCACTAAAGACAAAATGATAAAATTCTTGTATTTCAAGCATCTACATTGATTAACTCTGTTCCACGCAAATGGAATTTGAGGCTCAAAGTGGCTAAGTGACTTTACCCAAGATGACAGTCATACTTGCTTATGTTACTATCCTTCTCTTTGGATCTCAAGATAAAAATATTAGAAATATCTTTGACTCTTTTACTTTGCCTTCCCTGACCTATTGCCTATTATTCCAAATAGCTGGATGATTCTTGTATTCTAAAACATGTCTCAATGCTTTGCTCTTCATTTCAAAAAACAACTGCCAATCCTCTGTTTCAGCCTTGTGCCACAGTGTATTCCTAGATGCTCTTATGGGTAATTTGTGGGTTTCAAGACAAAAAGACCAAGAGAAGCGATGACACTGTAAAAATCTGCTAAAGTTGAGATGGAGAACATAAGCCTGTTTACTGGATCCTAAAGGAGATTTTTTTTTTTTTTTTTAGCGTAAGGGTAAGGGTAAGGATTTTCTCCTTATTATAACAAAGTACAAACTGATAGGAACCTTTGCTTGAAGAGGTGGTTTAAATTAGAAATGGAGCAAAGATGAGGAAGTCTTGGGCTGAGTCCCAGATAGCTCTGTAGAGGGAAGGAAGGCAGCTTTATATGTTGGACAGTTTCTGAGTATACACAAAAAAATCTTGCTTCTGCTGTAGCTGGCTCCTGGTGCGTCCCCATCAGACTCAGTCTGGGGTTGGGGCCTATGGGGACACATGGGGAATGGCACATGACTGATGCAATAAGTAGACTCTTCAACCATCTCTTTGGGCAACTCATCTTTCAGCATCTCTTGGGGTTCCCATTGTCATGGACAACCAAGTTCCTGCTTCCTCACACTGACCCCTGTAAAACCCAGGATTCCACATTACCTGTGTTCACCTGGTACTGTAGCATGAGGCTGGCAAAGACAGGAAAAAGGAGCTTCATGGCTGGGTACCAGAGAGGAAGGCTTAGATCTGGGTTGGTGATCTTGAGCTCCAGGTTTGGTGATCTTGCTCTCCAGCCTTTATTGGCCTCTTCATGGCCTTAGGCCATGAGCAGTGATGCGCATCCAAAACTCACAACAGTTGTGTTTTCTCTGATTCTGTTTGAGAACAACCTTTTCTGAACACTTTCTGCAACACATTTCCTGCTCTCAATCCTGGGGGCAATACAAGACATAAGATAGGAAAAAAGTGCAGGCCCTTTGCATCTTTCTTTCTGTAAGTTTGAGTAGGGCGAGAATACTTTATTTGCTTCACTATTTGTCAGTTAATTATGCCCAAGGTACTCAGTGTGTAAGGCCTGGAAGAGCAGAAATTGCTATAACCATAGACTCCTGGAGTCTAGAGACTGTCTTTTTTGTACTGATGCCTCCAATGGCCACCATGGCTACTAAATCAACCTAAGCATTCACTACTAGTTTGTTAAATGAGTTTGTGGGAAGTATCTCTTGGCATAACTTTAACTCATTTTTTATTGAGATATAACTGACATGTAACATTATATTAGTTTCAAGTGCACAGAATAACGATTCAATATATGTATATATGATAGAATGATCACAATGTCTAGTTAACATCCATCACCACACATAGTACAATTGCTTTTCCTGTGATGAGAACTTTTAAGATGTACTCTCTTAGCAACTTTTTCTTTTTTAAAATAGGTTTCTATTGATTTTTTTAGAGAAAGAGGAAGGGAGAGAGAGATAGAAACATTGATGTGAGAGAGAAATATTCATCAGCTGCCTCCTGCGCACCCCCTACTGGGGATCGAGCCTGCAACCTGGCATGTGCCCTGACTGAGAATTGAACCAGGATCTATCTCTCAGTGCATGGGACAATGTTCAAACCACTGAGCAACACTGGCAAGGCATAACTTTCAAATAAACAATACAATATTATCAACTATAGTCACCCTGCTGTACATTACACCCACAGAATTTATTTATGTTATAACCAGTCATGTGTGCCTCTTGACCACTTTCACCCATTTTGCCCCTCACTTCTGGCAACCACCAATCTTTTCTCTGCATTTATGAGTTTTTTTGCTTTGTTTTTAGGTTCCACATATAAGTGAGATCACATGGTATTTGTCTTTCTCTATCTAACTTACATAGGTTCATTCGTGTTGTTGCAAATAACATGATTTCTTTCTTTTTTATGGCTGAATAATATTCATATATATACGATATATATATATATATATCAATATATATATATATATATATATATCAATCACATTTTCTTTATCCATTCATCCATCAATGGACACTTAGGTTGATGTTTGGCCATTGTAAATAATGATACAATGAACACGGGATTGCATAGATCTTTTTCAGATAGTGTTTTTGTTTCCTTCAGAAAAATACCCAGAAGTGCAATTTCTGGATTATATGGTAGTTTTGTTTGTAATTTTTTGAGGAACCTCCATACTGTCTTGCACCAGTCTGTATTCCCACCAACAGTGCACAAAGACTCCCTTTTCTCTGCATCCTTGTCAGCACTTGTTACTTTCAATCTTTTTGATTATAGCCATTTTAACAGGTGTGATGTAATATTTCATTGTGGTTTTGATTTGCATTTTTCTGATAATTAGTGATGTTGAGCACCTTTTCACGCACCTCTGGGCCATCTGTATGTCTTCTTTGGAAAAAAAATGTTTATCAAATCTTCTGTCCATTTTTTTGTTTGTTTGTTAATCCTTACCCAAGAATATTTTTCCATTGATTTTTTTTTTTTTTTTAGATAGAGTGGAAGGGAGGGAGGGAGAGAGAGAGAGAAACATTGATGTGAGAAAGACATATTGACTGTCTCCCGCATGACCCCGACTGGGGCTGGGGATTGAACCTGCAACCCAGGTACATGCCCTTGATGGGGAATCAAATCTGTGACCCTTTGGTCTGCAGGTTGATGCTCTAACTGCTGAGCTAAACCGGCCAGGGCTGCAGAGAAGTTTTTATTTATTTATTTATTTATTTATTTATTTATTTATTTATTTATTTATTTATTTTTATCCTCACCCGAGGACATTTTTTTCAGATAAAGTGGAAGGGAGAGAGAGAGAAACATCAACGTGAAAGGGACACATTGAGTGGCCGCCACCCACACGACCCAGTCAAGGCCGGGGACAAACTACAACCGAGGCACGTGCCCCCAGCAGGAACCGAACCCAGGTCTCTCCAGACCACAGGCCAACACTCTAACTGCTGAGCCAAACCGGCCAGGGTGAGAAGTTTTTAATTTTAATGAAGTTCACCTTATAGATGATTTCTTTCATAGATCATGCCTTTGGTCAGTCATGGAATTCTTCAGCTCTAGGATTTTTGATTAAAAAAAAAAGATTTCCATTTATTCTTTTAAACTTATTTTGTTTATGTATTGTTATACTAGTTTTATTAATTGTCTATCTATTTTTTTTTTTTTTTGTAGTTCACTGAAAGTCTTTAAACAGATTATTCCGAGTGCTTGCTTCAGCAGCACATATACAAAAAAAAAAAAAAAAAAGGATTATTCTGAAATCTTTGTCAGTCAGTTCACACAGATCTCCATTTTTTAGGGTCAGTTATTGGAGCTTTATTAGATTCTTAGTTTTCTGGCTGGGCTCTGCAGTTGATCAATTGCAGGCTGGGCTTTGTGTTTACTTGGGGCTGATGGCTTTGCTCCCTGGTGGATTCATTGGCTGTGCCCTGTGGTTGGGCAGGGTCACTGCTTGCTGAGGGGTGTCTGGTTGGGTGGGGCTGCTGTCTGTGTTGTGATCTTGGGTAACGCTCTTGGCTGGGCTCCTCGATCAGGTTGGGATATTGGTTGGGTTCCATGGTCAGCATGGCCACTGAGTGTGCTCTGCAGTCAAGTGGGGCTGTTGGCTGGGCTCTGCAATAGGCCATGGTTGCTGGGCTCTATGGTCAAACAAGGCCAGTTGCTGGGCTCACTGGTTAAGTGTGAATACAGCCTGAGTTTCTTGGCAGGGCACTGCTGCTGGTTGGATTCTATAATTGTGCAGGTCTGCTGGCTAGTCTTTGCAATCAGCCCTGGTTGGGTGGGGTTGCAATCTGTGCCCCCTGGTCAGGTGGTCCTTCTACCTGGATTCTGTGTTTAGGCAAGGATGCAGGCTGGGCTTCATGGTTTGGTGGGGCTACTGGCTGGGCTCTGAAGTTGGTCAGATGCAGGCTGGGCTCTGTGTTTACTTGGGGCTGATGGCTTTGCTCCCAGGTAGATTCATTTGCTGTGCTCTGTGGTTGGGCAGGGTCACTGACTATGTTCCATAATCAGGCAGGACCACAGTCTGTGCTCCATGACTGGGCTGGACGACTGACGGATGACCCCAGCCAGACAGAAATGCTTACTGTGCTGCCTGACAAAAGGGACTGCTGACTTTGTTTCACAGGTGGGAGGAGCCACTGACTGGCCTCTCTGAGCAAGGTCACTGACTGGGATGTGGTTCCATTGCCAAGATCCATCTCACTGGTTACTGTGAGCTCTGCTCCCTTCTTTGTTTGAGTTGCCTTCATGTGGTCTAGGTTTGTCATTTCCTCTGGGTTCTCCAAGACAGAAGTGGGCCTCCAGAAAGTGTCCCAGAAATGCTGGGGAAGCGGAATGTCTGCCTCAGGTTCTCTGTTCTCCACTAGAGAAACTGAAGGCCCAGGGGATCACGCTTGATGTGGTGCTATGCTGGCCTGGGAAAGGGGCATTGTGGTCAAAGTGAGCCTGCCCTACTTGCCCTTCAAATGCGATTTTCTCGGTATGTTTCATTTTGTGTTTGTGCGTGTGTGTGTTTGTGTGTATGTGTGCACACACACTGCAAGGGGATGCTTCAGCCTTACTCCCAACAACCATAGGGCTTGAGCAGAACAAGGGCAAGAAAAGAGTTTCATCTGAGAAGCACAACTGTGTTCAGATGAGGGTGGGAACAGAGGACAAGGAAGACACGTTCCTCTGGCCCTAGGATCAAAACACATTTACTCCTGCAAAGAAGCAAATGATCTGAAAATCATCTGGAAACTGAGCCTGCCTGCATAGCCCCAGGAGCAAATGGGCAGGCAAGCAATGCCATCTGGCACAAAAGACCCAGAGCAGAAGAAGCAACGTGTTTTAAAAAATAATAACTGGCCTGGCCGGTGTGGCTCAGTGGTTGACTCATGCACCAACAGGTCGCTGGGTTTGATTCCTGGTCAGGGCACATGCCCAGGTTGTGGGCCCAACCCCCAGTGGGAAGCATGCAGGAGTCAGCCAATCGATGTTCTCTCTCATCGATGTTTCTATCTTTCTCTCCCTCTCCCTTCCTCTCTCTCTAAAATCAATAAAGAAAAAGAAAAAAACAACTGTTCCTAGACTCACAAACAGGTGTTTCTGAGGGCAAGTGCATGCCAGATAAGTACTGGTGCTTCCTGAGAGTTGACAGGACTACAGAGCTGCCTCCTTGCTTCTTCACTCTAGGCCTTCATGTGTCCTCTGAACACTTAACTTGGGACATGACCTTCAGGTCCCGATTCTAGGCTTCAAGGGCTCTTTGCAGGCACTGCAGCCTGAGGCTGATCTGGTTCCTGTCCCATCTTCCTGGCAGTCACAGAAAGTTGCCTTCACCCAGGGGTGAATTTGGTCCTCAGTGTGGGTCAATGCTGGCCCTCAGCACTCCTGAATGGGGTCAGGGAGGGTGGGCAAGACTTTGGAAAGCTAAGCACGAGGCAGTCCTGGGTAAAGGATAGTCTTGTTCACTGGATGGTTTGGTAGCGGTGGCTGAAGAACAGGTTGATGACAGATGGGTCAGCCACAGGAGATGGGTCCCCCAGGTCATAGTCATTCTGAGCGATCTTCCAAAACACTGGCCTCATGATTTTCCCTGAGCGGGTTTTAGGCAAACCCATGCATTCTGGATGTAACCTGGTGTAGCAGTGGGGCCAATTTTTTCTCTAATCTGCTTCTTGAGCTCCTCCTTGAGAGGTGGGC